GCTAGGGCTAAAATTAAACTGTCCATTCCTTAGGGCCCAACATAACATCTGCCAGATGTCTTGGCGTATCACACAAGAAGAGGAATTTTCTTCTAACATTATCTACTTTCCTCTCTGTTTGCTCATAATCAATTAATAGGTCACCAACACCCAGCTAATGTTTCCCTCAAAGCCACCAACTTCCTAAGTATGTGAACTTCAAAAGATGCTTGCTTTCACATACACACACACACACACTCTCTCACAGACACTTGATTTTTTTTTTTTTCAGCTCACTAGATTTTAGTAATAGACACTGGAAATATTTCCCCCACTTCTTCTGAATTTCTTAGTTTCCATATACCAATATCCAATCATACACCCATGTCAGGTCCTTTCCAATCTTAGTTCATTATTTATATATTTCCTAATTTGTGAGTGTGGCATTCATTGTGAAATAGCCTCTCTATTCCCCAGCCATCAACTTGAAACATTCAATGCAGCTTTGTCAGTGTTCTGTCCCATGAGACAGTGAACTATAAGTCTGATAAAGGACATACCACAAAGAAGATAAGTAAGGTTACCTTAACCAAGAAACCTCAATACCAGGAAAGAATCCAAGATAGACTAGACCCTATTAAACTCCATCACACTGAAAACGGGACTCTTTCCCAAGGCAACTTTACCATTCTTTCCTTTCAGGAAAACTGACCACAAGTACTTTAAAGTCCATTAGTACAGTTGGATTTCTTTTTTCCCCTACTGTCTTCCAGAAGACTCATTAGAAAGAAAATTTTTTAAATATATATATATATATATATATACATACACATATATATGCAAAATAATTATTTCATCTAAAAGTTGTCTCCAACTCCAAAGAGTAAGGAAAAAAACAAGTCCTGGAGGAATGTGATCAATGAATTAGATGGACATAAATCTAATATGAGAAGGATTATGGAATCCGAAGACCACAAGAATGTTCTTTATGGCAGTGTGCATCACAGCTCACATATACTTCTCCAGAATGATTTCTCTCTGTGATATATTAGAAAAAATTAGGTAAAAACTTGCCTAACGAGCCTCATCAACTTGACGTCTAAAAACAAAAAGGATCTCTGAGCTTTGACATCAAATGAGAAGGTTCCATTGGACACTTTTTATTTCTCTCATAGTGGTTTATCCTAAATACTTGTCCCATTTCAAATGCATATATCTAGAAAAACGCAAGAAACCATGTCTTGAATATATTGGTACTTTTCATGTTGGTGAAGAGCATCAGAGATGGATGTGTCTCTTAGGTAACCAGTTAGAACACATTCTCAAACTCCAAAATGCCTCTTAGATACCTAATTTTTTCCCTCCAGAAAACCTCAGCTCTAAGGCTGAATATCTGGTTGCAAAGTAAAAACTATGAGTCAAAAAACCTGGTTGCTGGACTGGCAACCAGTGTGTCAGCTTTTTTCCCTACTGAAAGAAGTAATTAACCAGATTTCCTGGTATCAACATCAACAACAAACACATCATGTAGGTTTGCTTCAAGATCAACTATAATGTACTTATGTTTACATAGACATATATGGTTAATTAGATGCAAAACTATCTGGTAATTACTTCCCCAAATAACTCTTTTTATCCCATTGCATTTGAACTTCCGAGTTTGAATATGTAGCAAATACATCCATGCATTAGTAATTTTAAATATAACACTGCTGACATTCTACTTAAGAGCAAAAGTAATGGTATCAAAGAGTAACATTCAATAAATGAATAATGAAAGGTATGATTCCAAGTAAGATTTTTTAAGTGCTCTTGGAAAGCCCTAGATTTTTAATAAAGAAGCAGAGCTCTGAAGAGAAGTATTTTTAAATGAGCATACACATCAAATGCAAATCTTGAAAACCATACATCTTCGTCTGCAAAAACAGGGTTTTACTTCATTGACCATGGACAATTATTAGCTAAAAAAACCATGTATTTCTCCTCTCCTTTCACACCCGTCAGAAGAACAATAACCCTCAATTAATGACACAACAGTTTGGTTTGAAAAATGTGATGTTGTCATATACAGCACTGAGCATTTACTGAATGACACTGCTCCCAGTTACTCAACAGAATATAATTACATCTGGAATCTAAAAACCACCTCAATCTGCACCAAAAATACTGTGGACATAAAGAACTTTACACACACACAAATCTGACACATAATGAGAAAGCAAAGCAAGAAAAAAGCTGGTATAAGTCGCTCACCAATGTGTTCCTTATTTCTGTTGAAGCTGGTACCTTGCTATATTTCTCCTTAGTTGAAAACGAGGTCCAATCAGCCTCCTTACAATATATTATTAATTGGTTCTGAATCTCCTCCAAGTTTTCATTCCACTGTGGAGCCTTCCTCACCTATCTTCAAGAGTCCGTCTAAAATTCTTCCAACATCTTCCCTCATCCTCAAGATGGCTACCTTACCTAATGGAAAAGCAACATCTTCATGGTTGGCTTTTATAAATTCCTCAAGCATTTCAGGATTTAGTTCTTTACTTGGATCAATTACATACATTTTCTAGAACTAATCTGTGAAGAACTCCAATCAGTGTGTGTGGACTGGGTAGGTTTGGGTCCTTTCTTCAAATCATCCTCACAAAATGTCTTCCTCTAAGACTAATAAATTCCTCCCAATTAGAAAGGTGAAGCTACCTGGACAGAAGGTTTTCTCAACTGACATAATACTTTAAAATTTTGTTTCCATAGTGACATTGTTAAGAAGACATCTGATATTTCTGAAGACTTAACAATACTTGAGAACACAGAGAAAAACAGCAGAATGGAAGGGAAGAGGGAAAACAAAGGAACTAAAAGAAGGCCTAATACACAAATGGAGCATCTTGAAAAGAAATGTAGACCTTCAAGAAACTGGTGTCAGCCAGTCTTAGAGTTCCTCTGAGATCTTGCAGGATTTGCTGTTGCTGCTGTTGTTTTGCAGAAATCAACCCCAACCAGACAATAAAGTCTTGCAATGCATCAAAACATGATGATAACCAAGCCCCAGAACTCCAAAAATCTCAGCTCAGGGCCACCACCATCTTCACAATGAGGAAATCACATTTCCTGGCGACTTGCAGGAGACCTGGAGCAGCTTAAAGTTGTGTGAAGACCTCAGTGGAAAAATGTTTAAGGTTTTCCTTGCCTTTCCCGAAGGAGGTCAAAACCCTCAGGTCCACTCAAAAGGAGAGAAAAAAAATTCCAAAAGTTTACTTTAAATTGGCAACAAACGCCTCCATAACTTGTGAAAGCACTCCTTAGGTGGGAGGAAAATGCGAGCAGCCCTTCCAAGCCCCTCATTTCCTTGCATAATGAACAGATAGTGAGGAGCCACCACAAGATTCACCCCCTGGAAAGGGAGAAGGAGAAGGCTGGCAGGCCTCCTCCTCCAGCCATCACCAACAGAGCTTCAAAATGGAGACATCCATAATTTTATAAACACTTCTCAGCTTTGTCTCCTGGAAACCCGCTCTCCTCCATTTTCTGGTGGAGTTACAACATGACACGGGCTTACCTGACTCAGTTCCCAGCTCTCAACCAAACTAGTTACTTCCTCAAAAATCCTGCAAGCCACCTCCAGAAACAAAACCAAAGCAAACCAAACAGCCAACACAGACACTCAGACACAGCCCCCCGGGAGCCCTGGGAGAAAGCCCCAACTGGTTGGTCTTTTCCCATCCCAGACGCGTGCTTAAAAATGAAACTTTTTTTTTTTTCAGTAGGGGAGGAATATAAAAGGAACTCCAGGCAGCCTCCCTCCCTCTCTGTAGGTTAGAAGCTACAATGAAAAGAAAATGAGGGTTCCTCCAGGAATGGTGAAAAGCCTGGAGAATGAACGTGAGAAGAAGCTTTGTGTTTTGGAGTCTGGACTGGAACCAAAGCAGACAGCTTGCAAATGGAGGACAGGGAGATAAAGAAAGGGAAAGAGAGGGGCTGCTCCTCTGGTGGGCGGCTGCGGCTTCCCCTCGCGCCTGGAAGGAGGACAGACCCCTGGGAACTGCACCAGGAGTCAGGCGACCCCCAGGCCCCTGCTTGGGGTCTTTTCTCCCGTCCTCCGAGGAGAGCCAAGCGTGTGTAATGGCTTCTCCTCTCCAGAAACCGTTGTCCTCCTCCACCAGACGCTTCTGAACCCCCAGCCTGGAGACAGCTCCTAGCTGCTCCTGAACCTGCGCCCCCCAGCCGGCCGGCGCCCCCCGCTCCTCGCCTATCTGCTCACCGGCAGCACCGGCAGCCGCCGCCGCCGCCCCCCGACACATCCCGACCCCGCATCCCAACTTCGGGGAGAGAAGAGAGCGAGCCAAATACCTGAGGAAGAGGGGGGTGCCAATCCGCACGGCTTTGCCATCGGGCTGGGGACAAGCAGACAGAGAGGGGGAAAGGAAGGAGAGGGACAGAGAAAGAAAGAGGTCAACCCGCTCAGGTCGGGGCGGCCGGGAGCGCTCCCTCCTCTGCCCCTCGCTCTTTCCCTCTGGCTCTCGGCTCAGGTCTCCCCGACTCCCGCCCTCCGCCCCCCTCTCTGTCCCTTACTCCTGTGCCCACACCAGGAGCATCCGTCCTAAGGCTCCAGCTCTCTCCTCACTCATCTTTTATTTTCTCTTCTCTCCATAGAACTACACGAAATTAATTAAGCCACAGCGCTCCGCTCCCCCCCGGCAGAAGGAGCAGCCAGCAGGAAAAGCACAGCCACCTCCACCGCCACCGCCACCACCACCTTCTCCTCCTCTTCCTCCCTCGCTTCTCCTCCTCCTCCTCTTCCTCCTCCCCCCCCCGCCCCCCCCCCCCCCCCCCTCCTCCTCCCCCCCCCCTTCTCTCTCGCTTCTTCTCTTCCAACAGCCAGTCCATGCAGGGGACTTCCTCTCCTCCCCGCTCCACCAACCCTCCTTGGCCGAATGAATGAGCGCGTTTGTGCCTCCACCACCCCGTGCTCTCCTCCCCGCAGCACTCGGACCACCCCGAGGTGCTGGTTAATTGCAGTAACTTACTGAAGAAGCGTCCCGGCGCCGGGAGGTGTTTCGGGTTCTCCAGCCCCACCGCCTCCTTATCCTTTTTCTCTTTCTCCTCTTCCTGCTCGGGTTATTGTTGTGGAAGTTGTTTGGGAGTCTCATGTGCTTCTGCCGGGTCTCAGCAATGGAGGATCGCCATCTTCCCTGCCTTCCTCGGCTCTTCAGACTCGCTGCAGCTGCAGATGACCTGAGATATCCGTCTCTCTCCCTCTCCCTCTCTCTCCCTCCCTCCCTCTCCCTCTCACTCTCTCCCTCTCTCTCTCCTCTTCTCTCTCCTCTCCCTTTCCCTCGCGCGCTCTCTCTCTCTCCCTCTCCCTCCCTCTGTGTCTCTCTCTGAATAATGAGCAACCAGAGGGAGAGAGAAAGCAAGACAGAAAGAGAGAAGGCAGACAATCTTCTCCTGCCACACAAAACGCCGGAGCACCAGGGGGTGCGCGAAGCCTTTCTAATAACAACAACAACGCGCAGGAGAGAGAAAGAAAAAAAGAAAGAAAGAAAGAAAGAAATGAGGAAAGGGCTGGAGGGGGGGGAAAGGAAGAATTATCCAAGAGCTGAGAAGAGCAGGAGAAGGTGGAGGAGATGCTGAGGCTGCGGTTGCTGTCCCCCCTCCCCCCCCCCCCCCCCCCCCCCCCGCGCTGAACCCCAGAAGGAGGCAAGGTGGTTGCAAAGTTAAGGCTGGGACATTGTCTTTGTCACTCAGAGCAACACAGAGCCAGGCCAGTGAGACGCGAGAGGAGGCGGTGGCGGAGGACGAGGTGGTGGTGGAGGAGGAGGAGGAAGAGGAGGAGAAGGAGGCAAAGGAGGAGGAGAAGGGGAAGAGGCAGATGAGATGAATAAAGACCTGCGGAGAAGGCGGTGCGAGGAGCGCGGCGGCCGGGCTGAGGCGTGCGCGCTCGCGTCCCGGAGGCGCCCGGCCGCCCCGGCCGGCAGAGGAAGCCCCCAGTGAGGACCCTGCCCGGTCGCTCATAGCGCTCCCACCATCAGCCCTGCCCGAGGCGCCGAGCCCCGGCCCCAGAGAGTCCCTCACACGCATCCATCTAGAGGCCAATCTTTGCAAAGAACACACATTGGGAACTAGAGGTTGCAAGTCTAAACCCAGATCAACCACGTGGGGCTTTTTAATCCCTTTCCAGCTTGCGGTGTATCTCCAGTGAAAAGCTCAAATTGTCCATTACTGACACGTATTTTGAAGTCTTCTCCGAAATAAAGGCTCGTTGTGCATTTTATTTCTTTTCTGATATGGTAAGGGAAGGTTGAGGGAGGAAAGAACCCATCATTCTGAGCCTCGGAACCACCACTTTCTTTTCCTAACTTGTGAAGTGTTTTGACGGCGCACCAAAACGGGGGAAAAAAAAAAGCCTACTTAAATAACTTTACACTCTCCAGCCCCGCGTTGCTTGCACTTTCTGGCTGATCATCCAAAAGCTCGGAAAGTAACAATCAGAGCTCCTAATGATAAGGTGTCATGGTGTTGAAGACAAGAGAGCCAAGATGAAGCTTTCACACCTTGAATTTTTATTTAGTGTAATTTCCCACAAATCGTTCTGAACTGTTTATTTTGCAAAGGAGTGGGTTTACCCTCCTCTCTCACTAGGTCTAATGTCTCCTAAGGCTTTAATCTGATGGTGGGGAGGGGGCGGGGGTGGTGCCTACAGTATAAAAAAATCAATATAGCAAGTCAGAAGCAATTGAAGTTCAAGGGCATGGGCTGCTTGTACCATTTCTATTTCTCGCATCCTCGAGCTGGACATCAACAGCCTCGGGAGAGAGAAACACGCAGCGCGCGGGGCAGAGACCTTAATTAAAGTTTCTTTTGTCCGCGTCTGAATTGGGGGATGTTGCTGGATTCCTTTGCATTGGGGAGCGCGCATCCGGTGGAGAAGGCGCGGTGGGGAGGATCCAGGGCAAGACTGTCCTCTGTAATACTCACTACCTCCCCCGCAAACCCAACAACAGTCCGGGAAGATATCCCTGTAAACCCACACAATGAAGGGGAGGAGGAGACGCGCGCGGAGTTGGTTCCCACCAGACAGCGGGGTTTTATAAACAGATCGGAATCCTTTTCCAAGCTTTTCCCCAATCGTTTATTCCGGGGCAGAATCTCTCACCCAGAGACACGATTTCACCCCCTTCCAGTCAACACTTCCTGCCCTTTTCTCCTCCCACTCACATTGAAAAGCTTGGGAGCCCTAAAAGGGTGTTGATGGCGGGGGTGATAAATAAATAAATAAATGACACTCTACGCGTGCGGTGGAGGAGAAAGGAGGGGGAGGGAGAGGCAAAGCGAGGAGAGGGAAGAGAAAAAGTAGGGAGAGGAGAACCAAGAGGAGAAAGCTCAGAGGCGAAAGGGAAACAGTAGTCAAAGCAAGAAGAGAAAGAAGAAAGGAGAGAGGAGGACGGTAAGGCTGTTCAGGACTGAAATGACCCTGGTTTTGAACAGACTTGGGAGGACTCCCAGTCCAGGTGCCTGGAAGGACTTGGGGATAGTCCTTCTGCCCCGAGCTCCTCCCCCACCCCACCCCCGGGACCCCAGGGGTGTCTGAGCCCTGGCCGCCGCTCCCCCATAAATTCCTCGTGGCACCGAGAGGAAGCACGCCAGGTCTCCGCCGTCCCTTCACTGCCCCGGCTGATAATTTACCTCTTTGTCTTTAATAAAAAGCTGACTTTTTCTGTCAAGCTCTGCACCGGGAAAGTAACAATCGTATTTCAGGTTGAAAGCTTCTATTACTGCTGGGTTTTGGAGGCTGTGATAAAATCTTCATCGACGTGAAGGTTCCTTCTGGTTGGCTTGGGTCGGAAGTCCTAAGATGGGGGCCGCCCTTCCCCGGGGGCAGGGGGGCAGGGGCGCGGGGAACCCGGCGGTGCGGAGGGAGGAGGAAGCGACGAGGTCAGAGGAAACCCAAGACTCCTGGGGCACCAAAGGGCTTCCCGCAGTCGGGGAATGAGCCCTGGGGAGGAGCCTTTCGCGAGAACGTGAGCGCGCCCCAACACGCCTCAGACCTCATAAACCCACTTGGCAAAGACCGGGGAAGCGGCTGGCGGACCGACTGCGGTGAACTCAAGAAATTAACCTTGCGCTGCAATTAAACGGGCTGCCGCCCTTTCAGACTCACCTCGAGCGACCGTGATAGCTCCCGAACCGGCCGCGGGGGGACCTGGCTCCTCCCTCCCGTCCCAGGAGAAGAGGACAAAAAGGGGAGATGGACTTGGAGATGGCCCCGCCCTTCAAACGCTCCAATCCTTGGAAACTAAACCTCCTCTCCAAGCCTCCACGTCTAGAAGGGACAAAGGCAGCGAGGAGATCCAGAGACCGATGGGGGAGATAGGTGGCTTTCGGGCTTCTCAAGTGGGTGCTTTGGGCAAAAGGTACAATGGCCGAGTTTCCATTCCAAATACAGGATAGTCTTTAGAAGACCATCTTCTGGTTTAGAAGCAAATTGACTTACCAAAGCCGTGAAGCAAACTACTGCAAAACTCCCGCATTGCCCTGCTTTTTGAATGTGAAGGGCTAAAATTTCAGTTAACTATGCCATACACAAATTTTTCGACTTTTTTTGAAGTCACACGTGTCTTAACTATCCATCTAAGATAATTGAAAGAAATTAACATGAAAGAAATAAACATGGTGGGGGAGTGGGCTTTTTGTTTGCCTGCTTTTTTTTATAGAGGGTAGCTTTCTTTCAAATGATAAGAAGGCATTTGGATAAATAAAAGCTAGGTCACTCAAGGAAAGTGTGTGGCTGAAGGTTTTAGTGAAAACCTTGACAAACTTGGCGCTTAAGTAACTGTAATTATGCTTTGCCATTAGCGGACCATTAAGATATACAGGAGAAAGTTCACACCTCCTGCTGTTTCATTCCCTAAGAATATTCACAAAGATAATACAAGCCTCCTTGGGTTATCTTCTCCACCAGGAGGGTTAATTTCTAAAAATTTTAATTAAAATGGAAAAGCTTAGGTTTTGTACACAGGCAACAATGTGAGGCAAGTCTCGTGGGGACACATTGGCTTTGTGAAATTTGCCTTTTGTTACTGTACCCTATGCCATTATTCCCCTGGAGTCATATGGGATTTCAAGACTTTGTTAATGTTCCAGGAAGTATGAGTACGTGGGAAGTCTGGACTTTCTTCTCCCTTATCATGGGTGACTGGCATACAGACTCCTCATAAAGGGAAATTATGGCTCATCAAAAGAGTGACTTTATGAGCATTAATAGAATAATAAATCTTGCAATTTTAGTTCAAGAAACAGTGGAGTCCTATAATCAGAGTGACCCATACAAATATGATCCACTTTCTTGCCCAACTCTAGCAGGATAGGGATAGTCTATAAATCATTTTGGTTTTTAAAGGTTAGGAAAGGAAAGTGCCCAGACCTCTCAAAAGTGTTTATGGGGGGAAAGGGGACTTCTATCCCCTACAGGAAGGAATCATGGAAAGAAGGAAGAGTTGGTCCAGAGGCTACATTAAAAAGATAGAATTTCAACTGAAACAAGAGTGAATAGATGTTTTAATGTCATGGTTTCAATATTTACATTATATCATATAAAAAAGGAAAAGTCCTGCTTCCTGAAAACTATGCAAAAAAAATTTCCAGTTTATAATCCCACTTTCTAAATTCCAGTTGGAAAACTGTTCAGGCTGATGATTTTAGCAAAACAAGGAGTAGATGAATAGAGTATGGCTTTTTCAGAAGTCTTAATTATTCCGGCTTTAAACATTTGACCACACACCTCTTGAACTTGGTGGTATTTTCCTTCCCATGTAAAACTAATTTCCCATGCCATCCAATATAGTCTTTTTACTATTTGAGTTATTTTCAATGGGCTATTTATTTTGAATTTTTGAGATCTTTTACTGTTGTTGGAAATGACTAGTCCTTGAAAAGTTTTTTTTTAAGACTTCAAATTGGATAATTATGGACTCTCCAGATATCAAAAAAGTGAAGTCACTAACACACCTTCTTTCTGATCCCTTACCGAAAAATCAATATATTTTCATAAACCCAAACCTAAACATATGTAACTAGTTGACTAGTGTCCACGCCTAGGGAGAAGTGACTGAAAGAAGACAAACGTGGATAATTCATGATTCTGAACAGCTCCAAAGGAAGAGAAATTGCGATAACTTATATTAAACTTCCCCTGTGTGAATCTTTCTGTGCATACCTTTGGGTACCAAAGAAGATGTTTCAATAGCAATGTTCTAAAAAAAAAATTTTTTTTAAGTCTTTTGCCCATAGGTAGAAGTTAAATTTACAGTTCTATCAAACTAGTTACTGTAATAATGGACCATTCATGTGGAATGTCCATTAACCATTGAATATTTGTTTAGCATCTACAATATGCCGTACTCAGCTGAATACCAGGGATACAAAGATGAATAAGAGAAGATGAGTCAAAGTCTAAATGCCTGATCTACTGCAGGAACCACTAGCTTTAAAATGCCATTATTTGGATTTATATAGAACTTTAGATTTTTACTCACTCAAAAGCAATACAGGACTTTGGCCAATAAGGAGGCTATGATTAATTTGAACATTTTTGTTCATACAACAGAGTTAGTAGGAAGTAATAT